TCAGTGTGCAGGTTGATGAAACTTCTGATGTCTCAACTAAGGAACAGGTAAGCATGATAGTCCGTATGGATAAAGGTTGTGAGATAGTAGAAAGACAATTGGGATTTGGAGATGTCAGCACAAAGAGAGATGCTGCTGCCATATCCCAGTTTGTGAAGGATAAGCTTAGTCCCCATTCCAACATCAAGGATAAATTAGTGATGCAAACCTATGATGGTGCTGCTGTTATGTCTGGTCATGTTAGTGGTGTCCAGGTTCGAGTGCGTCAAGAATATCCTTTTGCATACTTTGTTCATTGTGCAGCTCACAGATTAAATCTAGTTTTGTGTCAGTCTGCCTCATCTATAGCCCCTGTTAAAGTTTTCTTTGTTGATATAGGAGCATTTTGTACTTTTACTAGTAATGCCCCTCAAAGAAAAGCCTTTCTTAATTCTCATCAAATCGAGTTCCCCAGCCCTGGTGATACTAGGTGGTACTATCGATCTCGTGTGATAAGTGTCTTGCATAGAAATTACCAGAAACTTCATGACATTTTTCTTGGAGAAGTGGATGAGCCTGGGAGCTGGGATGGAGAATCATTGGGAAAGATACATGGTTTGCTACATAATATTAGTAGTTTTTTGTTTTGCTTTTTGGTCTGTGTTTTTCAACAGATTTTCCAACAATCATCAATCCTATATGAAATTCTGCAAGGCCAACAAACTGACTTTAACTATGGTATGGTAAGAATTCAGCGTTTTGTAACCTTTGTTTCTTCTCTTCGTAGTGATGATAAATTTTCTGAATTATACCAAGAAGCAGTAGATATATTGGGCCCACCAGAAAGCAGACTTGAGAAAAGACACAACCATAAGCAAATTTATTTTGAGATTATCGACTCCATTGTTAGTATGATGAATGAGAGGTTTCAGGATATGAAACAATATGCATTTTTAGATCTTGTCAATCCAAAAAAATTTGCATCTTGGGGTGGGGTGGTACCACCTGAGAAAATTAATTTACTAAAAGAGATGTATGGGCCCCTTTATGATATCTCCATGCTTGAGAGCCAACTTTCTTTCATTTACAGGGATCAGGATTTTCATAAAGACACATGTAATGAATTACTAACCTATATTTTTAAGTTTAATCTCCAATCTAGTATTCCTGAAGCTGTCAAATTAATGAAAATGAATGTTGTCTTGTCAGTAACTAGTGCTTCTGTTGAAAGGTCATTTTCCTGCTTGAAAAGGGTAAAGACCTATTTGAGAAATAGAATGAGTCAAGGGCGCCTTAGTTCTCTTTGTAGGATTTCAATCCATAGAGACATTCTAAAAGAAAAAGAAGATGCCAATGTGCTACATAGTGAAGTTGTGGAGAAGTTTGTGGAGAAGCCAAGGAGACTTGCCTTTCTTTACAAATAGTAGACAGGTTAAGTATAAGAGACATTAGCTGTTGAATGTAAGTATAACTATTTCATTACTAGTTCATCCCTGTTAAATGGGTTCAATTTTTATAATTCATTCATCATAAGCAGTCCTTTGTGCACTCTTGCACCTTATTGTAATAGCCTGTTATATAAAATATTAAAACTTAAAAAAATTATTTGTATATACATTTAATTGGTCCAAGGGGAGATATTCACTGCTGGTGTGGTGACCCCATGGGCCATCTGTTCACACTGTATTGAATAGTTACTATTCATTCATTAATTGCTTATGAGTTACGAGCAGTTTTTTGTGCACTCTTGCACCTTTTCACTTCATGTAATATATGTGTTAAAGAAAATATTAAAATCATAAAAATATATTCTTCTAATTATAATAATAATAATAAAAATCTTTACAGAGGAAAGCTTCCATCACCAATAGTGCTTTTCAGGAAGGTCCTCTAAATTGGTTCTAGGGGAGATATCCACAAGTGTGGTGACCCCAATATATAAATAATGGGCCATCCCTGTTCATATTGAATTGAATATTTACTTTAAATTCATGTATGAGCAGTCCTTTGTGCACTCTTGCACCTTTTCGTTGTAACCTATGTGTTTAAGAAAGTATTAAAAACATATAAAATCTTATATATTTTTTCTCTTAATGGGGAGATACCCACACTTAAGGTGTGGTGACCCCAATAAATATTCATTCATCATGTATGAGTGGTCTTTTGTGCACCCTTGCATAGTTGCACCTTTTCACTGCAATATACATATGTGTAATGTGTTTAATAGTTCTTAGTGACTTCTTACTTCTTTTGCATTTACCATTCTGTTCATACTGATACTGTATTAGATATTATCTATATTCTTACTTTTCATCATGTCATGAGCAGTCACTAGTGCATTGCGCACTATTGTACGTTTCATTGTTTTCCGTTTCTTCATTCTCGTTAAATGATATATTGAAAACAAAGTGACATCGTCTTTGTCAATCGTGAGCCAATTTGCGCTAAGTGTGTGTACTTGCAATTTGAAAATAAAACGAGGAGTAATGGGCCATGGCATATTTAGTTGCAGCAATACAGAAATGCAATTATGCAACTCTTTTACTTTCTGGCTATGATGAGCGTTGTCTATTTGACTTCTACAGTGCAAAAGCTTTATTCTCTGAGCCATTTATGGTCTATCAGAGTTGCAGGGTTAGGGCAAATTTTTTGTTGATACTGCCCCCAGAACGCCGCAAATGCTGTTTCCAGGCTTCCAGATATCAAAAATTTTCTGGGGGAGCATGCCCCCAGACCCCCCTAGGATGCTCGCACCTTCGGTGCTCGATGAGCAGGACCATCACCGAGGTGCTGGCTACGCCACTGATTATAATTTGATGAAAGATTTGGTATATCTATTTAGGTCTCGGAAAGTTAAAGATCTCCACGGTCTTTAATTAATCTCATAATTTGACTTGTTTCAATGGAAATCACGGGAGAACGGGGCTACTAAGGTGATAATTGCATCTATATTCGTTCCATTGACAAAAATAGTGACAATTACCCATATATATGTATTATGTTTCTCAGAGATAAAATTACGTCAGCACAGAATTTCAAAGTATACTAGCTTGATTGATGAGTAGACGCAGATGTAGATATAGATGTGGCTGGTGTAGGTTCGAACTAAAATATGACAGTAAAAACTACTAAGCTAATTTGCTTAAACCATGCAGCAAAACACAATGTCAATGTCATTAACAAACAAACTATAAACAATAAAATATATAACGAATAACTATTAAACTTGCGTACTTTGGTTTACACTTGTACTCCAATTGTCGTAGACAAATTTTAGTTGAATAATTTGCGCGTAATTAAACGTCTTTACTATACGACAGTCAAACTTAGATTAAATATGTGACCTAGTGTCACGCAAAAGCTACCAAGGCAGTGTAGCCTGAAGGCAATTAGCTATACAATAGCACAATAAATTATTTCGAACTAGCAACCTGAATATAACTATGATATAAATGTGAATGCACGATAGCTACTCCGTTCATTGTACCTAAGGAGCTCTATACGTACAGCAGAAGTTTTCCCATCAAACAATAGTTAGACTATCATGTTCCCTACTTCTAATTTCTGAGAAGTTTTTCTTTTTTTTTATCATTGCAATAAATCTCAGAATATAGTGAGATGGCGTTGCGCGCTCTTCTGCCTGTTCTAGCGCCAGTAGCGGTTCTGCTTATTCTTCCTACAATGGTATGCACTGATGATGATCAAGTATGTAAACTGGTGGCCACAAATAGTTCAGTGAATGTCCAAATATGTTTGGTATACAAGTACATTCGGATCGCAAATAGTAATGTCGTCTTGGGTGTCCAAAATATACGAATATCACTTGAAGAACCGTGGAGAAGTGTGCTACTGTAAACCCTTTGTGTCAGGCTACCTTCATATGCCTACATGTGTTCTAATCTCGACGGTCCTCTAAAGGCTGGTATACGTTGTGCAGTTGAAGCCTTCTCTTTCTCTTGCCCTGGTCAGAAATCTCATAACCATGGTTATACCTGTGTTTATGAAGTCCAAACTCGTCAATTTTGCGACAAATGGTGACGTTATCATGCAGACGGGGTGTCTCATGCATTAGAACGCATTAAGGTGAAAACGTATACAGTGAAAAGTCGCTCATACATCGTAATCCCAGCTGGTTACAGATTCTGTTCTATCAGCGAGGTAATTTCAGTAGAGGTTTGTCTGGCACGAACAGAATTTCTTTAAATTAAATCTAAAACGTTAACGTCGTCACACATATACTTCAAATGCAATTTTATGGATATTTTAATATTAAAAAATTTAAAACCCCCGTTAATTATTGTACTCCAATTCGTTCTCCTATAGATATTACGATACAAATCTTTTTCATATATGCAAATCACACGGTAACTGGAAAAAAAATCGCTTGTTTTTACAACTAGCGTTTTTAAATGTACGACAGCTTACCACAAAAAGAATATACTTTATTATATTAATTAAAACGATACCGTTGTCAGTAGCGTAGCCAGCCTGTCGATTTGTCCCGCTATGCTAATATTTTAGTGTTTACAGACTGTGAAAACAATAGATTTCTAAAGACATCAATAATTATAATAACTCAAAATTTACATAGCGGGACAAAATCGTCAGGCTGGCTACGCCACTGACCGTTGTAAGGTACAATACTTCATAATGACATAACTCTATGACAAAAACCTCTGGAATTAACCTTTTTCACGATGACGTTTTTGGGATATTTTTAATTTTCTGAAATGGGCTTAAAAAACTATAAAACCTGAAAAACTATTTTATTAGAATTAATAGACCCATTTGAAAAATAAAATTCAGCGTAAAAAAAAAGACAGTCGCCGTTACGAGATCTTACGCTCTTGGTCTTTACCCCCAAAATGGCGGTATATTCGTCATCGTGAGAAATGCTAATTATATTAATATTTTGCAGTCCATTTACCATCGCATTCTGTCAATATTTAGGGTTGCATATATATGTATTACCCAATAATATATAATACTTCATCTATTTGTCGCACTATTAATTTGCATATTAATTTGCGAAATTAAACTACGAATATGATAAGTTTGAAGTCTAACGAAGATAGATTTGCCCGCCGGGATGGGGGACATTTTTCTTTTGATTTTGACGACTAGTACCACAAGGATCATGCGTTGGCCAGTGATCCCCTGTGTATCCTTGAAAGTCATAATATACTCCTTTAGCTCCCAGAAACGGCCCTTCAGCGTGCCAAATAATTCTAGTTGGTACTACGTCTTTACAGGCTGTCGCCACGTTTTTTATATTTTGACATTTCACTGTTCCTTTTTTTTTTGTGACTATGCTTCCATGAGTTGGCTCGCATACAATCCAATCATTGATATTTGACTTAATCATAAACTCTCTCCCGATGTTTTTCCAAAGATTCCAGTCTATAGCACCATGTTCCTCAAACGACCCGCCAAACGGAGGGGTTGTTGAGTTTTGAACGTTGGCGACTGGGGCAGGCCAATTTGGCACGGGGGTTACGGCATTACCCCCCGAAGCGAAAACGTGGTACTTTGTAAAGGTGTAACTGTAAACCAAAGTCCAACCTCCCCCGTGAGTTTCCATGTCACAGTAAACTTTCAATGGTTTCTTAGCAGTAGGCCGGATCATGTAAGTTCCCGAAGCAGAGAATTTGTTTATCGTCAGCATATCTTTACACGATGCGAGGGAGGTAACTTAAATACAATATAAAAATAGAAATTGTTGATCTCACATTACAACACGGTAACAGGATCAACAGGTTGTTTCCGGTTCACTAAAACAGGCTTAAACAACGTTTTTCTTTTCTCCACAGCTAATCTTGTATAAAAAATATTTCTACAACATTGCTCAAAATTTCTGGCACAGCTGTCCGAGGATCGTCTCTGCCGCCTGGCACGAGCTTAAATTGTGAATAGAATTTTGGGATAAATCCTCTTTAAAGGCCTAGATTCCAAGATTGCTAAAAGCGTTTACTTTTTACAACCGATGCACGTGTATAGGTGTAAAGTCAAATTATTTTTTATTTCGAATGCTTAAAGCCCGTTGTCCATTAGGCAAATTTGTGGAGAACAAGCGAATATGGGTAAAAAGTAGGAAGCGATTCTACTTCTTCGCGGCGAATTTTTTTGCAAGCCAATCACATCACTGGATTTAATTTTAGATATCGCTTCGCGTCGCGCGAATAAATTCGCCTAGTGGAACACTGTAATTGTATGCTCGCCCCAGGGGCGCTGCGCTCTAAGGTGAGCGTATATAGTGTTATAGGCTTCAACGACTTAATAAGTAACATAAATATGTATGCATGGCAGTGTCTATTTGGTCTTACCCTTCTTAATCGCTCCTAATTCTGTTTCAATCTTTTGCAATCTCTCTTCAATATTTTTCCACTTTGAACTTGCATTCGTTTTCAGCTTTACAACTCGTTCATCCAGTTGGGAGTGGTTGTGGCTAAGCCTACGGAATTTTGCCTTAATTTTTACTGTCTTGTGTCGGGTTCGAGCGTCTTGTTTTTTGAGACTTTGCAAACTTAAATTTAGATTCGTTTCGATGTTTTGAATTTGTTCATTTTGCAGGGAAATTTTTGTTTTCAGATTCTCGACCTACAAAAATCAAATTTTCACTTATCTAAAATGACATTTAACGAATGCCAGCGTGTGAAATCCAAAGCTCTATAACCCACAGTTTTCTCGCTTCCTATTTCATCCCATCGCTCTCCTCTATTCACATAAAGTTTGTCGTTGTCTTCACGAAATGAGATCAGTCCAGGTATTGGCGGAAGATTGTGGAGGCTTTTCTTGTCTTTTACCAGAAGTGTCTAAATAAAGCAGTTAATAGTCGATCCTCAGTTTTCCCCTTCCTACTCAATAGCCTCATTTTACCATGAGGGTGCATAGTCGTTATTGTACCGTGCGAGGGTTGCATGGTCGCTCATCGTTTTGCCGATGGTAACATGATATTATGAAATGTGCAAAATATTTTTTCATCATCTTCCACATTTTAATTTTTTCCACATCAGTGTATGTTTTCCACATATTTTCCACATATGTACCACCATATTTCCATATGTACCACATGTATACTTCTATATTTTCCACGTGTATATTTTCCACAAATTTCCACATGTACATTTTCCTAATGTGAATTTTCCACATTTTCGCAATTGAACTTTTGTTCATTCTAAGCTGCAATTTGACTCATTCTATACTATACTGTTCGTTCGTTATACATGAATCATGATTTGGTCTATGGCATGGGCTATCTTATTGAAATAATTTTCAACATGCAGATCGAACATAGAATTATAAAATAAGTATCTATCTACTTACACCTTCATTCAAGAATGTTTTATATCGTTCCGAACATGTACCCTAAATAGAGAAAATGGCGGTGAAAAATTTACACCCAGCGTTCGCTGCATGCAGAGACGAGCATTCTCCGTACATCAGGGTAAAATTTTACATCATTTTTACTCCTTATTAGGGAATATGGTTTCCATCAAATCACAATTTTTTGTCAATCTCGCGGTGACCATACATCCAATTAAAACATTTTCCTAACAATACCTTAAGAGCAGTACCGGTGATTCTGTCAACATGATATGTTACAAATTTTCCCCCATGTGTCTTCATCTGGAACTCCATACATTTTCTCCACAATCGTCCAGGCGTTCGGGTTCTGATCCAATACCAGACGTAAACCTGACCTTTTAAAACCCTTCCTCCATTCATTGCTTCACACTTTCTACCGCAGTAATGACCCCTTCCACCTTTAGGACCAAAACATGCACAGCACTATAAAAATATAAGTACAAACGTACGAATAATTTAATAAATTTTATCCCTTGAAAAAAATGAAAATACAACTGCGTTGATTGGAAGTCCAATGCCGTCAGCCAGCGCGGGTTATATATAGCATGTAAAATTCTAACACAATTTTTGTCTTGAAAACATTTAACATAAGACGGCAAAGAGTCAAACACAGATCAAATGATTTCGCTAAAAATTACAGAAGGAAATTATTGCTTTAAAAAATGTGAGCAAAATATCGATTGATATAACAGCAGAAAAAAATATTGACTAAAAAAATATAGTCATCATTAATCACAATAATTGAAGCCATCATTATTCTAATTGTCATCATTATTCTAGTCGTGGGTGACACCGGAGAACTCCGAACTTGCGCTGTAACTAAAAATTAAAGATTTAACTTTCCATCAACATTTTAATAAGGACTTCGAAGGAAATGAAACACGCTTTTAAGATAAATCTGAGCCATTTTTTATTATAAGTTGATTATGAACACAATGAAACAACTATCTTTTGTATCAATTAGCCACTATGATTATTACAGAAGACCAGCACTACACCTATTTGTTTATTTACCGAAATTTTGCGAATGTTAAAGTTTAGTATGAGAATATCAAAAAGCAATATCTTGTAAACTAAAGATTTGAGTTTTATAAAAGAGAAAAAGTTAACGGTGATATTTCGAGTTTCGATGTCATTCCGGTAAAACAATAACTTTGAATATTTAAATCAGTAAGTCAAAATATCACTGTTAATTTTAATTGTTGCCTTGTTTTAAAACCGAAATTTTGGATTTAGAAGATGTTTTCTCCAATATCTTCGTTATTTGACACAGAGCAACAAATATGGTTAATTACATAACAGTATACACGGTTTCACGTAGTTGGCTAAGTTATAAGTATACGAAATCTTCAGGGCGACATTGTATACCTGAAAGACCCATGACTATCAAGTCTCAGATTAATTAATTCCTTTCTATATGCATAACCATGTGGACATTGGTTTCTTAAACAATAATTCATTCTTCCCTGTTGAATTTAAAGATACTGAATTATTGTGTTGTCGAAATGTGGATATCTGTCGGTTGCCTTGTCCCAAACACTTTCCTATAACATTCGAAGAGTTTAGTTATGCAAAATAGTTATGTTAATGGAGGCGGGTAAATTAAAGTTCCTAAAATTCTGTTCCCGCCTTGCCTAAATCACCTAATTAATTACCCACTAAATCTTTTCAAGATGACTACTAACTCATCCAGGTGATCTAGAATAGTGGAAAATTATTGGGACTAGTTTTCAAATAAAAATCCATTGTCGGTTGAAACAACTTCATATTCTCTCACATTTTCGCAGAAAAGTGTGGGGGCTAATATTCATATATTCATTCATTTTAAGCATTGTTAGTTCCTTTTGAAATTATCCCTATACCCCCCGCCACCACCGACACAAACACACTTAACGATCTTCCGCCGTTCTTGTTCATAAAGAATAACAAATCGATAATATCGATTAAATACTGCAGAATGGATTTCTATTACGACTGCAAGCCTTCTGAATATGAGCTTGAGATCACCCTGGGTACGTACGAGGTTGGAGATCACCTGGATAATTTAACTAGTCTATGTCCATAGTTACCCAGCCTAAACCGACATCTGGTCCGAATTTTGAACAATTGAATTTTGTAGTGACGACAGTATCTGTGAGAATATCTTTGACATAAGAGATGTTACCAATCCCTGAATGAAAGTCAGTACAACCACCACTTCCAATTCCAAACAGATCACCAAGAGGACGACTCTCTTTCAATCTGTACGACCTTTAAAAAAATTAGGAAATGTTCGATAAATTTGTGGTAAAGAGGTATCGGTTGACAAGATATGTTCAGAGGAGGCAAAAAATTTCAGTTGTGGCATGATGCTAACCCACTCACCAATGAGCTTTCGTGTCTTCAAAATTCTTTGTGGTTGAAATCTGGATTGCAAAATCTTGTACCTTTACGTCACCGAATTCACTAGACCAATGAGGATGTCCAGTTGGATGAACTGGGCTATCATCAGATGATACGTTCCATGTGACCGGACTATCTTTCATTCCAATCAACAAATAACCAGCCCGATCACAAAACCCCTGTGGTTTGATAAACAAGTGTGTGGTATATTCACGAATTTGTTAGTTAGTATTATAGCTATATAGTACTGTTTGCGAAGTTAGTGCAATTAAGAAAAGGCCTATATTTACAAGATGACTCCTTATAAAATTCTTAGCCTGTTCATTTGCCAAAAATTACGGACATCGGACCTCCACTGCGCTAACACATTTTTCTAGGATACGTTGTAAACACTGAGTTTTCTTATTAAGGTGGCTCGATAGGAAAAAATCCAGAAAACTTGAAATTTTCAAAATTGGTATTTTTCAATGTTCAACTCTTAAACTTGCATATAGACTTCGTCTTTTTGAAAAAAAAAATGTTTACGTTTATTCTGAGGAATTTTATAATGTACACCATCACATTTTGAATCGGTCACCATGGCAACGTGGCAGATCTGGCATTTTAAAAAACAATTATATAAAATTATGTAAAACTTCTCTATTTGTTTTCATCATGAATAAATGAGATATCGATATTTTGCTAAGTTAATGTAGATCATTTTTCTTTACTATTATTGAGAATGCCAGAAAAGTATGAAGGAATGGCCATATCTAGTTCATTCTAGTTCCTTGCATAGCTGAATAAGCATTAGTGATAAAATGTTGAAAGTTTTAGTTGCCGGCTCACTTATTATAAATTTAAATATATGAACTTTCCCGCTACCATGCACCAAACTTTTTCGATTAATGTACTAAGTATGTTAATTCTCCTGTATATATATAAAATTGGTTTCATACCATAAGTTATTTCATTGTAGAATAAGCCATCGGAAATACCCTATTTTGGATATCGAGCCACCATAAATATTAATAATATATCTTATACTGTTGTGTACAATGCATTTGGTGCGTGAATCAAGGGCGACGTTGACATACAGGCCTTAAATCCAGATTTTACGCGCTGAGATCATAATTTGTTACAATAATTTACCGAAACATTGTTCGTGACACGTTTAATGAAGTTGTTTGAATTGTGTCTGATATATAGAATTTTCGCGTCTCACCTTGGAAACTTTTCCCTCTGCATGTTTTATCCAAAAGAAACCATCTTTCGCGTCGGGGAGATTGTCCACTACATCGGAGCAATCTTTTGCAGGATTGAATTTCTCTCCGAATGTTGAAGAACCTATACATACGTAACCAGGATGATTTTTTTATGCAATTAAAGTATGACGGCCTCTTGTAATAGCACGTTAGAATTTCGAAAATACATCAAACACATCTCTCAAGCAAGTTTCTGATTTGATATCTGATCTAGTATATACCATTGCTGTAGAAATATTTCCTGCATATAATAACTATAAAAATCATTTTATATCCACGTGACCGACACCTATTATAATTACCACCGACGCCAATTGTAGTAATTTTTCTTTTAGCATATATACTTCTTAAAAAATACGGCCAGAATTTAGTGAAAACTGTTCAATTCTTAAATGGCTAGGGATATTTTATACGACAAGTTGAAGTTATAGTATAAAGGAAAGTGCTATGATATCTTACCATCCATAAATTTCCATTGATATTGACCATTGTTCTTCAGACAGATCGCGACTCCGCCGTCACCGGAAACCTTCCGATACAACGTGTGGTTTCCTTCTTTTGCTTTCGAGCAAGCAGATAAATTACCAGAAAATGCATGGCGTCTATAAGCTTGTCCAACCTTTCACAAAAAATTGCAGATTTAATAAGTGCCTTTGCCAAGTTACCCAATTATTGCCGAATTCGTAAAACCAAACGTTATCACAATAAATCAGATGAATATATAGATCGGCCCTGATCTTCAACTCGTTTTTTTGTTCCGGGTTAGTGATGAACATTTCATAGTTCTAGAATCGACGAATTAGTCAGGATTCATTGTATATTTTCTCTGATTTGTGCTCAAATGAGAATATTTGCTCCAGTTAGCTATATAAATACCAACATAAACTAACAATCCTTGCCAATTTCCTTGTCGAACTAAAACACCAATTATAATAAATTATAATGATTGCATGTCAATACCTTTTGCGCAGATACCACGAAATAAACCAGGAATAATGAAGGGAAACTTTTTAACCCAAAATGAATCGCCATTTTCTCGCCAAGAGGTGTTTGCATACGCGAAGCTTGTGACTAATAAAGTGGATCTGACATAGCCACAATACACTAATGTGTCAATGATGACGAAAATAGCTTTATTTTTTCGCGATTTGCATAATATACAGTGAAAAGGCATTAATTAAATTGCGAACTAATTGTAATTCGTAATTATGAAAAATAATTATACCTTATTAGCATTATCAGGCAACAGTTATATAAAGTTGCTCATGCCACGCGGAGTATTGAACATCATGATCATAAAAAAAGGAATTACTAGGCTTTATTCAAACGAAATTTCACCATACATATCAGTCACCAATCGTGGGTCGTGATAATTATCTACGAATCACGATAACTTGACATCATGTGACAGTAACCGGGATTTTTTATGAAGTCTCGGGATATTTCGGGAGCTTCCAAGATTTTTTATAAATTGTCTGCTGGTAATGTATTTGGAAGCTGACTCGGGATTTTTACAAATTACAGTTGGCAACGATCGTAAAAGCATGATGAAAGATAGGTTTGCCATGCACCAGAGGTAAATACGTTTGGGAATTTCAAGGAAAATACGTTTGGAAATTAAATCCCATTCAAGAAAATCCAACTATGAAAGATATTGAATGATTATTAGTTACTAGAGAGTTTACAATTCACGACGCGGCTTGGGAAGACGCGTTAGAAAGGCTTGGTGACGAGAGCGGCCTACGCGTCTTGTGTGATTCCGACGCGTACTCTACGATTCTACGACGGAATTTTGTTAATTTTACGTTGTGCATGATCACTACGCTACGAACTTCAAATGAATATTTAATATTTTTTAATTGAAAACTGGCCGCGCTTGTTACCAAGCTTTTCTAAGTTCTCTAGCCGCGTCGTGAATCGTAAACTCTCTATTATAGCATTTATGGTAATATTATAACATTCATAGTACGCGCTTGCTCATTGGTCGAGAGGCGTTCTTCTATTTATCGGAAATTTTCTCGCCGAAATTGACGAGCGAATTAGTGAATTATACAAACCCGTACGGGAGTTTGGGAGAACTCAAAATAACATAGGGAAACTCGCCCTAAAAGCTCGTTTTCCCGCTGATTATTTCTCCTTGGCCCAAACTCCCACGCCTGTTTCTATAACTCCCCAAAACACCCCTGCGCGCTCGCACATTTTAGCCACAGATCTCTATATTACGCTGAATGCAGCCTTTATGTTTTCCAATAAAGCGCCTGGGTACGAGGCTGCATGTATCCATAGAAACAGTGAAACACGGAAATGTTTCCTACTTCTCAAAGGTGGGGTAACTCCCGCGTAATGTAAACAAACGCTTTGTTTCCAATCTAAATCCGAAATTTCCTAAAACATATCAAGAACTTTCAGCGTATCTTGCACGCTTTTAGTTACCTATACTTTTAAATGAATACGAGAGAGAGTTTATGTTCAGAGATATATAGACAAAACATGCGAAATTTGAGCAATTTTGAAACAACTAGTCTACTCATTGTTATGAGCTGAACTGCTGAACCGATGCGCAGAAGCGACTGTCACCCCCCATAGAAATTTGAAAGGGGCGTTGTGGAAGGACAGAAGGGAGAGACCACGGATATTTTATAAACGAAACTACCAAAATACGGAAAGTAGAAAACGTATCAACCTTTACAATATCATCGCTCAATTCAGACGGTTCACGCAGGTAAAATTTATGTACACTCCTTACCTAACAGAATAACAAAGTCTTCACGATAGTGGATGCAAATATGTAGCAAGTATTGAGGAAACGGATACGTATATATTAATTACATATGGTTTATTTATATTATTAGCTATATACTTTGCTTTCGTTTTGTCCTCTTGTACTTTTTAAAACAATTCGTCAGGAACATTAGTAGCAATTCGTGGCAATTTGTGGATATATTCATCGTGCAAATGAATTTGTCGCCTAATAGCATTCCCTACACGCGTAAAAACGCTCAGGTTGATGCAAGTTGATATAAACAGGATGGAGCAATGTTGTGCTGCCCACGTTGTTCAGAGTTGTTATCAATATTGAACAATATTGTTGAAACTGAATCGGGTGTAACAATATTGTTCAATATTGATAACAACTCTGAACAATGTGGGCAGCACAACATTGCTGCATCCTGTTTATATCAACTTGCATCAACCTGAGCATTTTTACGCACGTGTATGTTGTCTAGCTGCTAGCCTGACTGAGATATTTTGTGTTTATAGCACTACACAGTCACAATGGCAGAAATTAAGCTATTTCTTGAAAAGGTTACGGCAGAATTAATTTACAATGTCGTGTTTGCGGAAGTGTCCGTTGACTATGAAGCATTATCTGAAAAATTTGAGATGAAAACTGGCCATAAACCTATGGAATTATTTGGTTTTGATATGATCAAAAAAGGCAGCCATGACGATTTGTCAGATTTCTTGAAAGCAATTCCAGGTTTAAAAATTAGTGCTGAAAATACAGTAACCATTGGTGACAATAGCCCTATTTATAGCAATGCATTTGGCACAAATAAAAAATATGGTGACAATGATTTATACCACAACAATAGCATATATGATGACAGAGATATATTTGATGAACCTGGTTTGAATGAGGACAGTGGTATACATGACAGAGATATATACGATGACTGTGGTATGGATGATGACAGAGATATGTATGATGAAGGGGATATATATGGTGTCTTTGGTACACTGGATGATGATAGAGATATATATGATGAAGGTGGCATTAATGATGACAGCGGTATAAATGACATTGGTGATCTATATGATGGACTTGATGAAGACATTGATAAATATGATGACTACGATTGTGATCCATATGATGGATATGATGACATTGATGAATATGATGACTACAATTGTAATCCATATGATGGATATGATGACATTGATAAATATGATGACTACGATTATGATCCATATGATGGATATGATGACATTGATAAATATGATGACTACGACTGTGATCCATATGATGGATATGATGAAGGCAATGTAATTGATGTCACATTCAGCTACAATTTCTCTGACTTATTCGAGGGGAATAGCAAAAAAACAAGGTATATTTACAATGTTTTTAATACCACGAATATGGATGAAAATTGTTCAGTTGCAAGCTATCGAGAGAAACTTTTACTTAAATGTTGTGACATCATGAAGGCTAATTTTGCTAACCTAAGCAATTGCAAGGATGAGAATGGCAACACTCCCCTTCATCTTCTTGCAGCTTTGCCTGGAATTACCTTTGACTGTGACACTTTGGTAAAACACTTGTTGAAGGCTGGTATTGATCCACTGGCGGCAAATATCAATGGCCAAACCTTTCTACACATAATATTTGGTAGATTTGAAGTGGTAATTGACGAGAATTGCAATGCTTGTTTTAAGAGTGAACGTGTAGTTCAAAGCGAATGGTTTGTTGATGACCAAACAGCTGTCTTAAATCTGATTTCTAAAGAATTATCAACTGCACAAGTTACTTCACTTTCGAAAGCGCAAGATAAGAACGGGAACACAGTACTTCATGAATATGCACTGTTCACATCACTGCAACAAGAGCTACCTCACGAGCGCAACATTTCTGAAGAACTACTTAATCTTGATGCAGGTTTGAGCTTAAGAATTCCCAACACCAGTGGCGAGATACCACTGCATTATGCGCACAACCCATTGGCTTTTACGACGTTTGTCCAGAAAGAAATCGCTCTTTGTCGAAAAAGAAATGATCGCGACGAAACACCTATTTTATTTATGGTTAAAATGTCGGCTGAACTCGCGTTTTCCCAAACCTCCGCATCAGAAGAGCTTGCTACTTCGGGGTTTGTGGACATTACTAGCAGGAGATCTGTGCAGAAAGCTGCAAAACTACTGGAAAACCTATTGAGCATTGCAGAAGAGAATGAAGAGGCTGTAAAAGCTGCTTGGATTCCCGACCTTAAAGGTAACACTGCAATTGACGTAGTCCTGATTGCTATTCGAATTAGCGCCTATGATTTGGATGAAATTTCAGAGCAAATGGCTAGTCTGCGATCATCTCTTGTGGAATTACTACGTATATTACTTCGCAATGCAAGTCCGAGTAACATGACGCGTCGTAACAAGAAAGCACAGAGTCCTCTCCATGTAATTCTTGATATCGGTGATAACAACAAACACAAAATTGTCGAGGAATCATGCATACGTCAATGTGTCGAATTCCTTTTAATGCACGATGCAGATGTTAAATCTGTAGATTTGGAAGGTTGCACTCCTTTAGACATCGCCCACAAGCATCGCCACAAAGCACCGTCTCTTTTTAAAGAATGCGCTGAATTGCTATTGAAGGGAAAAATCGAAGCACGGAAGCTACAATCGTGTCCGAAGCGCCATGTGAAGAATGCAGAACGTTTAATTCATCCGAACTCTGAAGTCTCTATCGTAGGAAAATATCGCTATTCGAGAGTAGATGCCATTGGCTCCGGAGCATTCAGCGCAGTTTTTGTCGCAATAAAAGACGAGTACGTCGACCTTAAATCAGGTACAATCCAATGTCGGGCATATGCTTTGAAGCGTCGTGATAAAGCCAGGATGAATCTCGGAGAATTCACAAGCGAAATGACAGCCTTGCTTTCTCTATCTGGAAAGTGTGAGAATATCATTAAATTTCATGAATGTATCGAAGATCCCCGTAATATTTACCATTACCTCAGCCTTGACCTGATGGACGGTAATCTTGCTGAGTTTGTCTTGAATGGCGTTGCCCATAAAGTATTTAAAGGGAATCCAGCATTACATGTGAGGGCAGCCAAAGATATTGTCAATGGTGTAGCTTTCATTCACAACCAGGAGTTTGTTCATTGCGACCTCAAGCCTAGAAACATCTTGTACACAACCGATCTTAAAGGTCTGCGCTTTAAGATCGCCGACTTTGGATTGACAAGGAGCATCACCACTTCGTCCGCACTGACGTCCTCTGGAGGTGATTGTGTTCCTATAGTACTTGGCACGCGATGTTGGATGGCGCCAGAGCTGATCAACATGGAGTCAAGTGAACATACGCAACATTCAGATTTATTTTCGTTGGGTCTGGTACTGCATTATCTCCTGACAATGGGCAAACATCCTTTTGCGACCGGAATTAAAGAGCCAGCGCATGTTATTGAGCAAAGGATCAGAGGAATGCAAATCCTTGTTGAGAAATCGCTTGAACCAGAAGCCACCGATTCCCTTCATGCTCTTTTATCGAAAGATCCAGCCCAGCGACCACCAGCAACTTGCCTCAACGAGCATCCTTTTCTTTGGTGCGAAAAGAAAAAAATTGAATTCCTGAAAGCGATTGGGGATCAACTAGAAGCCGTTAACCCGGGCAAATATCCAAACTCGCAGCTTGAGAAATCACTACAAAACACACCCACTGGTATGGAAGTCCAGATGATTTCTTGGGATCAGCCTATCCTTAGCTTGTTTGCAGAGATGAAAAAGGCGTGGAAACGGAAGCCGTATCGAACAGACAAAGTGATCGACTTGATCAGGTTCATTCGTAATTCGTACGCTCACAAGCAAGAGAGATCGTTGATGTTTCAACAAGATGTTGATAACAATATCTTCCTTCGTAAGTACCAAACCCTTGTGCTTGATGCCTTCGGTGTTGTACGGAAGCTTGGTTATGATACAAGCCGTAGCAATATCCACCAAGTTTTAAGCTTTTAGACAACGAGTATGCATGCACTTGAAATTTAACTCAATTTCGAAGATTTTAAACAATCATATTTTTAAGCACTTTTCAATCGTTAATTAAGTAATTATTGATCAAGTATATTTTTAAAACGTAGAGTTGTACGTCTTTAGCTTGCCGCACACCAATCTGCTGAGCTTGTGACCATGTGTGGGGATAGTTCAGGTAAAACTCTCGTGTGTGCATAGTATTTGCTGCGGAATCGTGTATAATCTTCCCTTCGCCTTGGAATGGAATGGGTTTCAAGCTCAAGCTGAGGCACTTTATAACTGCATAATGAGAACATGTGACCTTGTCATTTGTCATATTAATAATCTCAGCGTGCGTGTTCGGTAAAAATGCACGTTTCACTCATTTGAGCTATCTGCAACGCTCGGCAGCAAGCTCAGCAAGTTGCCTCAGTTTTGCATTTTATAAGTTAAGAGACTTTTAGGGCGATTTACTTCTGATTCTGCACTTTTACCTACTGTAGATATGTACACTGCTTGATTACTGTATTTATCATGATCTAATGCATGCAATTGAATATGTATTAGTTTTAGTTTCTGATTATATTAAGCTTTTTTAAAAGCTATTAAAGACATTATAATGCCTTACAAATAGAACAGTTATATATTGGATATATAGCTATAGACATAAATAATTTTTATAATATTACATCTTAAGAGATTGTGCATTGAATGGGACTCTTTCTTTCTTTCCGTTTTATCAATTAGTACTAGTACAACATTGAATAGCTTCAGAATCCCGTAATTTGTTGCAATCCAAGCCAGGTTTGAAGGGTTACCTAAATACCTGCTCACCGCAAACTTGTTTCGAACATGCCAGTATTTGTGTGCTTGTTAGAAACGTCCGCTGATGTACTTTTTTGCGAGAGGTATATATTATAGCTAGTTGTTAGGTGATTATTGTTTCTCATAGTCTGTGATTCATGATCATGATGACGATATTTTAACTAATTCAGGTCTTTTTTAAGTGAAAAAGTCATGTGGCAAAAAACAGTGGTAGTAAAAATGAAGTAAAATGGGTTGTATTAAGAGATAATCAACTTGGACGTCAAGGAGAATATATGCATGGAGGAAATTCATGTAATAAAAACGCGCTTTTATTCACTAAGTTTGAAATATCTACAGTATTTGAGTTACTATTTGGGTTACTATTTGTTCCGACTATATAAGTTGGCTGCCAATGATCGTCAATCGCACAATGCATCCATTTAATATTTCTAATTAAAACTGTCCATGCACAAACAATACCAACATTAAAAAAACAAATAACAATATGCATATAGAACTATGTACACATGGTTCAAAATATTAATTTTGCAACCATCTACCTTAATTTCTCTGGCTTTGATTCAAGACGAATTTTGACACACCTGAGTTGGCTGTACTGTGTAGTCCAATTAGTTTTTTAAAACCTGATCACTTTTCAACGGTCTTCATCTTACAGTTAAACCATAGTAAAGAACTGTTCATAGGACACTGTTATCCAGCCATTCAAGTTACGATCATGATATTTGAAAGCATTTGTCAACATCTAAAGAGAGAAAACGATTGGTCCGTATATTACTATAAAGCTAGTTAGAATTCATTTCTGGAGAAAGAAATTTGAAAGGTGCGTTGTCGAAGGACTGAAGGAAGAGACCCAGGGTTTCCACTTTGATGCAAATTTCCATGAAAAACTTAATGAAAAACTTCTATAAAAACTAAATGAAATTCTATAGAACTTTCAACATTTCCTTTCTTCAATTAAAATTATCGAGCTCAGTGATTATTATAAAATTCAACATTTCCAACGACATAAACTTTGTTAAGTTGGTTTATGTTTCATCTTGGAGGGTAGGAATTTCAGTTTATTCAATTTAGCAGTACTAATGCCTAATGGCCGACACCTCTGAAACGTTTAGAAACTTTGAAAATAAAATACAAATTTGAAAGTTATGTGCTGCAATCTCTGCCACATTCCGTGTTTCTTTACCGGTTTTAATACTGTAGTTCAATATTCGCCACCAGAAATGGTGGTCGCGGTGGAAGGCTATAAATGGTTTAATTCTGGTCCCATGTGAAGTTGCAAGCATGTTTCGTGCCCATATAATATACAAGCATTAAACAATATAACCATGCTTTGGTTATGATGTGAAAAACTTTGATATGTATAACCACGCTGTTCTAATGCTCAAATGCTTGTCCTATGTAAAGTTTCCGGCATGTTTGGCGCTCATATACAAACATTAAACAATATAACCATGCTTTGGTTATGATGTCAAATATTTTGAAATGGATAACCACGCTGTTTTAATATTAGGTCAAATGCTTGTTCTATGTAAAGTTTCCAGCATGTTTGGCGCTCATATACAAACATTAAACAATATAACCATGCTTTGGTTATGATGTCAAATATTTTTGAAATGGATAACCACGCTGTTTTAATGGTCAAATGCTTGTCCAATGTAAAGTTTCCAGCATGTTTGGCGCTCATATACAAACATTAAACAATATAACCATGCTTTATTTATGATGTCAAATATTTTGAAATGGATAACCACGCTGTTTTAATGGTCAAATGCTTGTCCTATGTAAAGTTTCCAGCATGTTTGGCGCTCATATACAAACATTAAACAATATGACCATGCTTTGGTTATGATGTCAAATATTTTGAAATGGATAACCACGCTGTTTTAATGGTCAAATGCTTGTCCTATGTAAAGTTTCCAGCATGTTTGGCGCTCATATTTAAACATTAAACAATATAACCATGCTTTGGTTATGATGTCAAATATTTTGAAATGGACAACCACGCTGTTTTAATGGTCAAATGCTTGTCCAATGTAAAGTTTCCAGCATGTTTGGCGCTCATGTACAAACATTAAACAATATAACCATGCTTTGGTTATGATGTCAAATATTTTAAAATGGATAACCACGCTGTTTTAATGATCAAATGCTTGTCCTATGTAAAGTTTCCAGCATGTTTGGCGCTCATATACAAAAATTAAACAATATAACCATGCTTTGGTTATGATGTCAAATATTTTGAAATTGATAACCACGCTGTTTTAATGGTCAAATGCTTGTACAATGTAAAGTTTCCAGCATGTTTGGCGCTCATATACAAAAATTAAGCAATATAACCATGCTTTGGTTATGATGTCAAATATTTTGAAATGGATAACCACGCTGTTTTAATGGTCAAATGCTTGTACAATGTAAAGTTTCCAGCATGTTTGGCTCTCATATACAAACATTAAACAATATAACCTTGCTTTGGTTATGATGTCAAATATTTTGAAATGGATAACCACGGTGTTTTAATGGTCAAATGCTTCCTATGTGAAGTTGCAAGCATATTTCGTGCCCATATACAAACATTGAGCAATACAATCATGGTTTGGTTATATGATGTCAAATATTTTGACATCGATAACCACGCTGTTCTAATGCGCAAATGCTTGTCCTATGTAAAGTTGCAAGCATGTTTCGTTCTCATATACATGCAAACATTGAGCAATATAGCTATAACTATGCTATGGTTATGATGTCAAATATTTTGACATAGATAACCAGGCTGTTTTAATGGTCAAATGCTTGTCCTATGTAAAGTTGCAAGCATGTTTCGTGCTCATGTACAAACTTATACAATATAATGCATGCTATGGTTATGATGTCAAATATTTTAACATGGATAACCGCTTGTCAATGGGGTTTGCGTTTTACGTTTGTCTTTGCCTATATTATACATGCACGTTATAGTAATACACATCCAGGACGTTTTAAATTTGTCCACAACGTCCCCTTAACAAAAACAAGCAGGTAGCTATCATAGTATTTTGTTTGGTTGAGTTGTTTAAGATTGATCACAGTTTAATTTCAATGATATTTTATGTCATATATAGTAACTATCGATACGATTCTTTACTATTCCAGGAATTATCTACCATTTGTCTTGAGCATCACGGATCAACAATAAAAAACTGGTTCTGATAAGACGTTGAGTTGTTGCGTAGCTATTAGGCTATTATACGTTTGATCAATAGCACTACATTTCGTTACGATATCAAATATGAATTAATGAGAAAAAGTATGTATATAGTACTTTGTTTGATGGAGTTCATGAGCTTGATGAATTATCTACCATTTGCAAGCACTGTATGGACTAGCTGTTCGTCAACAGTCAAAAATTGGTTCTGATATAGTGATGAGAGGATCTATTTTTCAAGAGATTTTATTTGAGTTTGTGTAGTGAAGTTTATATGTAAATCAAGTTTTTGGTCAAGCTTGGCAGCGATAATTATCAACAAAATAAACTTTAATTGTTTTAGCAAGATGACTATTTTTCTCGAACACTGGTCAAATAATACGCTAACTGTAGGTTAACAAGAAAATCTTGTTATGATAAAATATTGACAAGATAATGTTTTCGAGATATTTTTGGAATTTGTGTAACATGGATACAACCTGTGCTCGCACGGTATTATTGTCGACATTCTAGCTTGAATCATGCAATTGACTCCATATAGTCAATATATCAACAGCCAACAAACGACTTGATTAAAGAAATACAAAATAAAACTATTTCCCCTTTCCGAGTTCTTGATATTCAAGATATGCTAAACAAGAGTGTAAAGACCGAGTCGGCGGTGTTCTGTCTTTATTTCATGCAATGTGATCGTCATGCAGCAAGCTAGGGTTGAAGTGATCTATAGACAGGGTATTTACAGACGCCAGGGCAGTGTTAATTAATACAAATGTGTGTAAGCCATTGAGACGGGCCAATATATTCGGAACTGCATGATGTTAAAGTTTTTTAGACCATGCACTGCTGAGTTTCGGCATATTTGTATACGTTTGATGCATGAATAGCGTTTGTAAGATAAGGATTTTTATTATTACCATATAAAGTCTTAGTTTTATAGCCAGATGAAATTAGATTAGGGGATTACAATCAAAGTACGTTTGCAAAGTCCTCATCTGAACTAATATTTCGAAATTATGAAAGGCGAGGAATAAAAAATGGTGTCTGGTTTAAAGTGCTTATAGTCTAGAAGGAGAGCTAGCGTGCTAGCTTGTCAAAGGAGATTTGTGCTTTACGCTTGACTTTGCCTATGTACGTTAGGTCCTAACCAGGACGTTTTAAATTTGTCCACACGTCGCCTTTGCAAAGGCAAAGAGGACAGCAAATTTTTTTTTTCATATCAAATAAATAATTCCTTCCCAAGAGGGCTTCGGAAACACTTAAATATAAAACATACTTGGATTATCCACAGTGGTCGAATGCTGGTCGAACACTGGTCAAATAATATACGCTTACTGTAGGTTAACAAGAAAATCTTGTTGTAATTTTAAAAATACTATAATATAAAGAACGGTACCCTGATACAAGCTGATCACGAATGCAACAAGACAATATATTTTATATAAAAAATTATATTGAAAATATAAACACGGAAATCGGTCAGTCGCCTAAAATGGAAGGCGATACTGTAATACGATTAGTTCTTTCAATACTTGATCACTTTTCAACTGTCTTCATCTTGCAGTTGAACACCATAGTAAGAAATTGTTCATAGGTCACTGTTATCCAGCCATTCAAGTTGCGATCATGATATTTGAAAGCATTTGTCAACGTCTAAAAAAAAAAAGGATTGGTCCGTATGTAATTACAATGATGCTAGTAGTCTGTAGTTAGAATTCATTTCTGGAGACAAGTGTACCTTTAGGACAACACAACACTGGATGAAATCATCAAATCGAATATCTCCACTTCCGCTGCGGTCAAATTTTCTGATCAAAATACCATAGAATCTCTCTGAAAGGTTGAATCCTAGTAAAATTAACATTTCTGTTTAGGATCCAGATCTCCAACTGTGTGAATTGCGCGCGCATCTTTTTGCATTTTTTAAAAACAATTTTACTTCTAAATATGAGTTCTAAAGCTAACGATGTTAACATGGGATAATCGTGTACGGCGAAGCCATGAATTAGCTGTAACAATATGGCGGCTATTCGTATACTTTAAGTAGACAAATAGATATTAATTACTAACACATTTATCCAATCTGGGCCCAGTTGTATAGTTAACTTTTAAATGTAGTTTATAAGGGCAGAATTGGCCAATAGACCTTATGCATAATGACGTATCAAGCCGTGGCAACTGCAGGGAATTCTGGTTATAGTAGTCACGGCGAAAAACTCAAACTTCAAAATTTTCCCCCGGATTCTGGACTACTAAGACCAGAATTCCCTGCAGGTTTCAGGGCTTGTACGTCATGAATAAGGTCTATTAGAGTCGCGCATTTCTAAGTTAACTAGGAATTAACTATATGGAAAATGAAACCGATTTTGGAAATCATGGATGAGAGGGGGTGTCATTAGCGTCGAGTTTTACCAAATTTGACTCCTGGACACCTGAAATGTTCAGTCCTGGTTAATTCAAACCAATGAATGAAGTACAACCTCGTACGCTCTGGCATGATAACATAATTATAATACAGTCAATACAACAAGTAAACGTTACTTACCAAAGCTTTGCAGTGCTAAAATTGAAGGCCAAAAAAAGAAAGTGAGTTATTACTATTTCACCTTGGCACGTCACCAAGCACGGGTTATTGCAATTAAGTTTTCCAAAGAGTAGGCAGTTTAATCATCCGAAACGTTGCGATATAACTTTCATATTGGTGGTGACCAACCACAGTCTATAACTGACCATTACAGACACGTGTTTACGCAGAGATGAGATGCATACCTGCTTTTAATTCATTTCGGTCAATCGTTCCAGAATTATCCAAATCGAAACTACGAAACGTGTTTTGCCAGTCAGAAACATATTGCCATAGCGCCGCAAACTCGTTGAAATCAATCACACCATTCCCATCTGTATCAAACATACCTATCAAGTTTTAAAGATTTAGCAAGATACCTAAAGATTGTTCTGTATTTGAAATATTGAATCAAGTCCTCTCTGCAATACTAATATCGATTTAACTGAAAATGTGCGCATCTGAGACATTCAAAATTTCAGAGGATTCAAAATTCAAATCAGAGGATTCAAAATTTAACCATGCCAGTGTGGATCGAAATATTGATAATCTAAATTTAACAAATTTAACATGATTTTCTCTTAAACTGTTAAAGCTGTTCTCTTAAACGTCAAAGGACTGTATTCTTTTTTTTGGTTTTTGTCTTATAAAGACCAACTGATTAAATGTTGAGCTATCATGTTGGCTCAACATTAATATTGTTCACTTTGTTTGAACGCAATGGGTATAATGCTGCATAATCATTGTAACGAATTTGTTATACCATTTTGTGGCGCTTTTGATAAAATCTTCCAGGTTAATTAGCTGCATGCGTGGTTATCGTCCATTTTTCTACTAAATTTTGATAAAAATTGAAAGTTTACATTCATTTGGCAAATAGTTGAATCGATCGGCTGGGTTGTAAATTTGTCACAGTGTCTGCTTTTGAAGAATTCACAGCATAACGCATAACAACATTTCTTTGTACCAGATATAGGCAGTTACTCTTTCTTCTTTATCTTTTGCATGTATCACATTATGTTATTATGGTGGATAAATTATAAATAGACATTCTTTAAGCTTTCTATAATTATGAACAACAAAATATCACGGCAGTATAGAATGAGTGAACTGTCTCTTAATAGCTTAAATTGCCATGCGTTTAGATATTATTATTCAAATTTATTTAAAGCAATGTCAACAGGGAAAGTTTTTGTTTCACAAATCACAACATTAAATGTTTTTATGAAATTGATAGAAACCCAAAAAGCATATATAAATATTGCAAGTTGCACAACGTAACAGCCGTAGTAAATCAGTATTACAAAAACATATATTACTTGAAAAGACCAAATGAATGATTGCATTTTGTTTTGAACGAGTATATATATTGTTTCGAACGGCCGAGGCACCCTGTAGATATGGTTATTAGCAGCAATAATAATAAATAAAGATTATATGAACTGAATTATATCAAATGCTATAAACTCGCAGCATAATTTGAATGCATGAACTAAAAAGAACCATATCTTAATCTTACCTATCATCAGACGGATGGTTTCTGGGTTAAATGCTGTCCATGCACCTAAAGTTGAAAGTTATATGTTAAGTTACTTAATATAGGGTGAACGTATGTATGAATTTCGCGGGGAAAGGTACTCATTTATGTAATACAGGAAAAGTTTAACAATAAGTTAAGTCTGCGCACGCCTGCTACTATATATCATATCTTATTGCAGTGGTCGATTTAGAGATTCACTGCATGTCATTCGGCCTAACTTACATAACAACGTCATGCTAATATTTCAATTGAATTCAGTTGACAACATTGACAGCCAGTGCCCTCCTCTGTTAAGGTTGTTTCCATGCCTTTTCTAGTGAACTGGTTCAAACTAGCTCGACCAAACGATAGAGCGCGTGCAACTGATCGAATTTGCTTTAATAAAATTATTATAACCGCAGTTTTGTTTTTGAGTGGAGCTTTCTTTTTAAATGTCACGGACGATTAAGCATGGAAGTGCATAGTTCTCGCAATACATAACATTCAGTCTGAAACAAATATTTTTAGATCATACCATTTCCCAAGGCTTGTTGCAGTTCGTCAGCACTGATCGATCCATTTTTGTCCTTATCGATCCTATAGTTATAACCAACCAACAATGATTGTTCGCATTTTTTAGCGTACTTTAATTCATCAATTGCGGCAGATAAACAGTACACGTATGTAAACTATGCATACCATGTCACGAAAGATGAAAATGTACATGCTAACATTAGAAGATGAATCTACTATATATACCATACTTCATAAACTAGGCTACTATTGTATATTAAACATTGTGCATGATATATTAAAATTGAAAATAGAGTCTCTTTAAATTTACCTGCTGAACATATTCTTTAAGAATTCCTTATCGACTCGAGCCATTTTGTGTTTTGTATTTAAATTCTATGATTTCAATTTGTCACCCATCGCACAGTGATGGCTGCATGTGATTACGCATGCGTGGTACTGATCATCGTGTTTTGGCTGCATTTCGCTGGAAATGTTGCGGATTGGGGATATCAGTATTTCTAGAAGCTTATTTTCCGCTAAAAGACTTATGAAATTCCAAAACCACTCACTTAATAAAATAACTAGAAGTCAGTAGAAAACTGAATTTTTTTTATTACCTTCAAATCAGAGCGTAAAGAAACATGATTGCATCAGACAAATGTACTTTTTTCATCAATTGGCTACCAACAGAAATGAAAGGGTATTTCTCGCGATATTCAACCGCCTTTAACGACTTTAATTGGCAAAAGAAGAATGTTACATTTAGCAAAAGCTTCTGATTCAGAAGTCTGATCAGCATCTCATTTTAATAAGAGTCAAACCTATACCACTTTTTAAGCAAGACCTTATACGTTCATGATTAAACTTATACGTGTACCTACGTGTAACCCATTTGTGTAACACATAACAGCCCTATATAGTATAATGTTGCTTTATGACAAGTATTATTTTCGGTGATTTGATTGGTTTTCAGCCAGCAAAAATCTGAGGTATTATTTGCTACGAGGTGGTAAATGCGTTGCGTTTCAAAACGGCTGCCCCTTAAAGGCAGAGTTGCATTGCACACCAGATGCATTCTTGCGAATTTCCACGAAAAGAAATGGCAACAAAATATTGGAATAAAGCCGTTTTATTCAGAGTAAAGAATTCGGTAATGCTTTTTTAATTCATTTACATGCAAGCATATATTTTCTTTATCCATCCACCTACTCACTACGTACGATCAACATGAAACTACCGCTGTTCTGCACCCAATTGCGCAAAAATACTAAGCTCTATGATTATCTACAATATTATTAACCTATTAACATACAGTATCTACTAATATCGCTACGAACCACATGCATTGCTAATTTTATTTTACAACATTATTTTGCGTTTTTAAGAACGAGCGCGCAACGCCGCCTAAAACAACAAGATCAGCAGCGCAATGCATCAAACATGCATACGTCGATTTTTAGAAATATCTTGTCCGATAATTCGTCTCTGTATATTCAGAGTTAACGCTGGCTAACACACATGCAAACAACTTACCCGTCAAATAGACGAACTTCGCAGATAAGTATACCAATGTTATAGCTAGTTCAGGGGCTAGTTGTATAAAAGACTAGACAGTTAACTTTAGTTAAGGAAGGAATTGGCAATCAGATTTCTGAGTTAACTGTAGGATTTAACTATGCAAAATGTAGTAAAAGAGTTTTATACAACCAGCCCCGGACTCTTTAGTATTTAGTCTGGGAAAGACTAGAATTTTGGGTCTACATAATATTGGAAAGAAACAGCACACCATTGGAAATGGCTAATGCACTGATCTGATAACTTCGAACTATGGATCATGCACCGATCTAAGTACCCTTGTCAAGTAGGGCAATTAGCTATAGGCAGCCGAAAATCTCGAAGTATATCTACTAGCTTTTTATAGACCACGTTTACACTATACCGGATTCACATGGTCATGCACGACATCAGTTTAAGTTGTTTTAAAGTATCTCTGACCCCTGAACTTTTCCATTTGCTTAGCTTTAAAGGAATCATACCATCATACTTTTTGGGTAAAACTCCCCCTGATATGGTTAGTTTTGATACATTTGTAACCATAACGGCATAACCGTGTAGTGTAAACAGGCCTTTGAGGAGGACATCTATCAAATGAGGACAAATTAATAAAAGGAAGCCAGCAGCCGGCGTAAACGCTACGATTTTTGTCGCCGAATGTGGGAAAAATTAATGAGCTTTTATATATGACTACGTAGGCAGACTATAACATATTAATAAGTAACATCACTTTGTCTTGCAGCTGAATACCATTGTAAGAAATTGTTCGTAGCTTACAGTTATCCAACCGTTTAAATTGTGATCATATTGTTTGAAAGCATTTGTCAACGTCTAAAAAATAAATTGAGAACAACTATATATCAATACATCACCTTGCATTTTTTATTCCCATGTTTTTTTGAATGAATTGTTTTTAACACTGTATACATTTATGCTGGGTGGCTTCAGAAGTTACCCGCATGCGTTAGTTTAGATCGCGACCATACAATGATGCAATAAGGTTCAGAGAGAAAAAACCTTCTTGAAGACAACCTACACGGCCTCAGACCATTGTGAAGGGCAGCCGAAAAAAGCTGCAGTCACTAAGAGAAGCCTATTTGAATTCGATGATATTTTAAAGCTATTTTGAATGTCTATTTCGAGTAATTGCTGCAAATTTGCAGTCGGCAGTTGTTTCAAATATTTTGTACATTTAAAAATAGGTATGGCACTGTAATGTACTAGTTTTCACCCTAATTTGTGAAATTCATGAAGTGCCATATATAATAGGCTATAATCTAACACGTGAACATTTGTAAGGCACTGAGGACGATCTGTATCAAATTTATTGCATATGTAGTTTACGTTTTAAATTGCCACTGAGAAATGCTAAAACAGATCTGTCGCTCTAGTATATATAAAGGCTTTTATACTTATTTTAAAGTTTTAAAATATGAGATACTTTAATTTTGATTAGATCTTACACCCGTTCCGCTCGCTATTTTTCTAAATGAATATATGAACAGGGTTTATTTAGCGAAATTTAGGCAACTTTTACATCCCTGGCTGATTGAATGAAAAAGTAACTTTTAACTAGAGTTAGTAACAGAATTGGCCAATCAGAGTGAGTTAATAGTGTGTTTTATACACCTGGTAACAGAGAACCCACACAATTGTTATGAGCAAAACTTGCTAAGCTAGGCTAGGCTAAGTAGAGCCGGGACTTGGCTTTCACTTTAAACTAGTACATATTGCCGTTTCTTCGTGAATCTACAAGCCTCAGGTGAGAGCCGAGAGGAAAAGATTATGCAGGATGAAAAAAGGGGGGATTTTATTTTTAGCTACTAGAAATGTTATACTATACCTGTAGGACAACACAGCACTGGATAAAATCATCAAAGCGAACATCTCCACGTCCAGTGCGGTCAAATTTTAGTATCAAAATGTCATAAAACCTCTCTGAAAGGTTAAATCCTAATATAGAAAAAAAATAAATATCACGCCTTGAAACGTTTTCTGGACAGCGGCCAAAATAAACAACAGCATGCAGCTTAATTTTAAAATCAGATCACCGGAATATAAATCGGTCCATCCGCTATAACGCGGCAAGACAAGCGTCTCGACCTGCAGAAATACTTCCCCTAGAAACTGTACTACACAGGAACTAACTGAGTATACGCAGGCTACCTATGTCCATGTCCATATTGACATGAAAAAAAGCGGGAAAATTTCAAAAAAAAATATTTGTTATTTGTAAATGACTTAATTTCCTGTGGTTAGTTTTCGAGAACAAGTTTTGTTGACGCTTTAGCTGAAGGATTTTTTATTTTCGTATTATTGTGACGGTAAGTTGTGTTTCCCGAACGTTTTTTCGATCTATTTATAAAGTCTAAAACGTTAGATCTTAGGCACGGGTATTTTCGTCGCTATCAGATATGGGCATCTAAAAGTCCATAATCAAAGGCATAATTATAGTTATTATAGTTTGATGAGGCGACGAAAATGCTATTAAATCGACATCTGGGCCCTTCATCTCGGTTACCGGAGATAAGGCAAAGCGAGACTTAATCTGGACAACGTAGCTGTATAAGCTGTATATATAACTAGGAGGGACTAGGGGGGAGTGTGGCAGAATTGTGTGGCAGCTATAGTGGCTATAGCGTCTTCAAATAACCGCGTTGAAATACAATATTTGATACAACTTACACAGTCATAGATTTGTAAAATAGTCGACTTACCAAAGTTTTTCAGTGCTAGACAATAGAAGAAACGTTAATGTTAGTTATGACCAATGTTAATCCAAACACCAGCACAATAATTCAGTTATAGAGTATATGTATTTTAAAACATTCTTAAGGGCAGGCTAGATCATCAATTCCATATCCTTGCTGTTTGAATATCTCAAGTGTTCACATAATGCTGTATTTTGAAATACTACTTGGATTTCATTGGAGGTAAAACTATATAAGCCAAATTACATATAATTAATACCTGATTTTAATTCATTTCTGTCAATTGTCCCTGAGTTATCCAAATCAAAACTTCTAAAAGTTTCTTGCCAATCACAAACATATTGCCACAGTGCTGCAAACTCATTAAAATCAATCACACCATTCCCATCAGTATCAAACATACCTAGATAAAAAACAACATATGCCATGCAGTGCCGTAATTGCTTGTATGTGATATAGAATACATATTTTTGGGGTGATTATAGGTATCAATTCGGGTGATTAGGTATCATGCAATGATGTACTGTTTTTGTCTCTACGTTTTGAGCTAATTAATTGTTTTTAGTATATAATGTGCATGCTTTATATATAATCATTTCCACAGAAATTAAGAAAAGATTGCGGTCTTATCTGACCAGGCAATTGCAATGCGAATGCTAAAATTGTGCACATAGTAGCTGGCTAGAAACCCAATTTGGTATTTACGATTCGGATAAGATAAGAAATTAGTAAGCAAGAAATTCCTTGCTGTATATTGGGTTGTAATGCTAGGTGACATTTTACAGGAAATCAAGTTTATCGAACTTTCAGCTTTGCCTTACCCATCATAAGTCGAATCGTCTCTGGGTTAAATGGAGTCCATGAACCTACATATAAAATGGTTGCTCTCAATTACTTCAAACATTGACACTGCTAATGAATAATTGAAAGTTTGGTGTAACTAGTGCTGTTATGTATGTTTTCAAATTTCAAGGATTAATTGAAAGAAATGAAAATTTAATATTCATAATCAGTGGAATTTGAACCCACAAAGAAAACACTTTTAGTGAGGAATTTCTTAGGCCAGACAATGGCAGTGGCATCAATGTCATATTCATTAGAGGAATGCAAAAATGAACTGGTCATACATAATATATATTGTTATTTTATTGTGCCTGAAAAATAACTGTTTGTTTATATTTGGAAATGATGTCAAACTGTCAAAAAAAGTTTCGAACGAAAATTTCTTTCAAGCGCGAATCGCGGGTTCAAATTTCTTGAATTATTTTACATGTTTCTTCTTATATTCTGAGCGTACTCAGTTTGATTTGGAGTAGGGTCCTAAATGATTTCCAAGAAATTGCAGTCTAGCAATTTATCGAGACCATTCCAGTCTCATATGCAGCTCAGGCGTGTGCGTTATTAGAAGGAAATCAAACAAGGAAATAATAAATTCAAACATCATATATTCCTTAATAAGTACAGTAGCAGATATCTAAAAGAACATTTTCACGACTGCTGTGTTTGTATTATAAAGATGTATATTTTTTAAATCATACCGTTTGCTAACGCCTGTTGCAATTCATCACCACTAATCGATCCATTTTTGTCTTTGTCGATCCTACGGTATAAAAATACAAAAATTATCTGCACCTTGCGTTTCATGTCGCCTTCAAAAGTCAAAACGTGTATTACTTGCGACGAATGTCGTCGTTGGGTCACGCGATGAAAAATAGAACTGGAACCAAAATCGAGATATTTCATAATAAATCCTTTGACAATACCTGTGGAATATGTTCCATAAGAAATGTCTATCAACTGGGGGCATTTTTCCTAGGTTCTGTTACTCTGTATTTATGCTGCAATATGCTTTGTACACAATTTCCTCTCTAATCAAATTTCGTATCTGTATTTTTCCCTTACCCGTTGAAACCGGAAGTCGAAGAAAAAATTCTATTTCCTCCGTCGTAACTTCCACTTCATACCTTAATTTTTATCTTTGTAAATTGTAATTTGTTAGTAGTAATTTGTATGCAAAAGCCAAAAGTGCAAAACATACAATATCCGAACTAGGCGAACACACTGGGCGCATAATAAACCTATCGAATATGAATCTAGTCAATCTATGTAACAAATTGACGCAATCGCAATAGTCGTGCGCTTATATACGTTTATGAGCGTCCCTAGCATATTTTTACACCGTACGCGTAGATAACGGTAGATATATTGACGATACCGTAGGTCGTAGGGGACAAGCCGGCAAGGGGTTTTATTATACATACCAGTCACTGTCAGCGACTTTTTTGTAGTAACTAGAGGTAAAAGGCCAGTAACGGAAATATCTAAGACACATACAAAGTCTAAACGAACATTGCAGCTGTTTTTGCATAGCCAAAAACAATCGGGACAATCTGACATTTGTCACATGACTTTCGTATAACACCAATATTGGAATGAGTTGATATTGGAACGTAAAGATAAAAACAATATATAGCACGTCAGTGGGAATTTACAAAGAATATTTACTGTTAATTTTGGAGCTGATGGCTAAATATTAAACAGATGTAATTTTTGCCACAAGGAAAAATCCTTTCTGAAATAGCGGAAATTTGTGTTGGGTGAATGGGTGCGCCTCCCCACCCACGAGGATGCTCTCCACCTCAAAAATTTCCAAAGGATCACAGGAATTCAGCCGGATATCAGATTTTAGAACTAGTTCGAGGCCTTTTCTTTGACGCGGACATACATTTGGGAAACCACAGTTGGCAAACATGGCGTACTATGGCCAACAGCAAGCTGCTCCGGGAATTGACCAGAACTTCTTGTGGGGCGTATTTCAAAGGTAAGCTCTTTGATAAAAATACGTCCGAGCTTTTGTTTTCAAAGCATTACTATATTAGTTTCATTTTCCAGTGTTGACCGGGACAGAAGCGGCTCAATTTCCGCCAACGAGCTACAACAGGCTTTGTCAAACGGTAAGGATATTGTAAAATATTTGCCCCATTCAAGAGGTTTTGTAATTTATTTGTGCAAAAGCCTGTGTTCAAACAGAGTAAAGGAGCGTTTGTATTACGTAGAAAGGAAATAAACAAGCGTCGGTTTAAAAATATTCGTTCAAAAGTCAAGCAAGAATACAAGATTCGAATTTCAATTAGAACTGTCAAATTTGCTGACAAGCTGAAATAATTGAAGCAATCTGAAGTGACTCATCATTTTCAGAACCTTTTGAAATGGTTTATAATGATGAAAACGGTATCATGGGGTTATGACTTAATTAGGTCTAGGTTGAAATTTTTAGATAGTAATCAACAGTTTCTGCTCAGCTAGGTCTTCATACTCTATTTTATCATTTGTACTTTATACTTGAGTAATACTTGGGTAAACTGCATATTATATTTTCCCTCCTGCATTCATGTATAGGCATTATACTTAATTATATTGTCTATAATTCCTAATCCCCTGCCTGGATATAGGTTATCAAAAGATTAAACTGGCCTTTTTACTTTAGGTTCCTGGACTCCATTCAATCCTGAGACTGTTAGACTCATGATTGGTAAGTACTTTAAGTATAATCACAAAGGTAATTACTGAAAGCTATTGCCACTGAATTATCAGGCATTGGCACAACTATGGAATGTCTTGTAAGGTTAAATTATCAACTTACACTAGAAATACATGTATGCATACAGCACCCCTCACCATTTTAAACCAAGAAAATAATCTTCAGGGCCTAGATTAGCTATAACTATGACTATAAGTTTATATAATGGAATGACTCAATGGCAAATCGTCAATAGCCAATATTTTTATTATTTGCTATGTACAAAATATAGTCATAACATTGAAGGTTGTGTCACCCATTTTCCACAGGCATTTTTAGACCCTACCAGCTTAGGTAACTGTTGAAATTTCAACATTTTTGGCTTCAGAAAAACATCAAAACATTACAAAATCTACAATGTAGTACAGAACCTCAAATATTCTTCAAATGTATAAATTCTGCTGTTGACTGTAAAAACTTTGATTTTGAAGCGACAGTTTACATTAAAATAAATTTACGTTTGGAAAAAAACCTTTTTGAAGTTAAAGCTACATGATGCAAAAGCCTTTCATAGCCCAATATGACTTTAGAAAACAACCTATCAAGCTCATGTATAAATAAACTGCATCCCTCTTCATACGTACAGCAAACACAGAAGTATTATAAACAACTACGTAATATACTATAGACACATAACGAATAAAAACGCTTCAAAGCTTCATATAGAGCGTAAATTGTTCCTTTTTCGCTTTTTAATCTGACGAACAACCCTTTTTGTTTTTGATAAATGTTTCTTGATGATTTTCGTTGTGCACATCTGTTATAATTTTTCCCATTTTATTTGGTGAAATTTTTAAAAACAATTTTATAAAAAAATACCAATTTCTTACTCAGCCAGTCAGAAAGTTGCTGATTAATGGTTCACTCATTTAAATTTTGTGCATGTGCATAACTAACACCATCCAACTTCCATGACCTAGATTTTGACATCTTAGGATTCCGCTATGTTCTGTCACAATACCTAGGTGTAATTCCTAATCTCTGGGCGGAATTAGTACCCTCGCATGGTGCTCCCAAATAACTTTTTATTTTGGAGTCAGCTTTTCTGATTTTATTTCCAAAGAATTCTGTATTGTGGATTTTAATAAAGTTTGTAGTGCTACAGGGGCATTTGATTACTTAAATTTATGGTTTTGTGTGACAGGTAATCTTTAGTTGTCAAGCAGCTTGTGGTTTTATTAGCAATCAACTTTATTGCAACTGATAACTTATTGGTCAAGTCACCGTGATTATCAAGCACCTTCCCTTGGACACATAATTTTTAAATAATTCTGAAAATCACAAAAGTTGTACTTATTCCCTGTCATTTTGTTATTTTTTATGTCTTTGTTTTAACTAAACTTTAACTATTCAACATTTTCCAGGGATGTTTGATCGAGATAACAACGGTACAATCAACTACCAAGAGTTTGGCAGCTTATGGAAATACATCACTGACTGGCAGAAGACTTTCAGAACTTATGATCGAGATAACTCTGGAAGTATTGATAAGGGTGAATTACAAAGTGGTAAGTATGTACCTACACAGATTTTTACCAAATCTCACTTGTGAAGTGACTTATGATAAATGACTGAATCAATATGATGACATATTTTAATTAATCACTTGAGCTTGTTAGTATCCATGTAATCGAAAAAGTGGTTCCAGACTCGAACAGGCTTATATATGACATAATTTAACATCACAACATTGTCTTGTTTGAAAGTCTTTTCTGGACCTTAATTTTCATTTTTAAATCATACTTTCTGCCTGGTGTTTCAATCGCTACTACTGTAGGTCATTATCCAATAACGCACGAGTCAAACCCACTTATAGGACGGTATTTCATCTTTTGGTTATAAAAGAATGTTTAATTTATCCCTGTTTTTCTTTTCTTTTTTCCTTACAGCATTGACAAGTTTTGGTAAGTTTTTTTCAACATAAAGCATAGTAGTTTAACTAGAGTGAAAAGTTAAAAGTCTATACTCAAACATGTTCTTAGTTACAAACATGTTTTTGCAATGAATGACCTTAGGTTCCAACCTTGTTTTAAACTCTATATGGAATAATTTTTCTAAGGTTATTCTTAACAGTATTTTGTTGTTCATTTCGCAGGTTTTCGGTTGTCAGACAGGTTTTATGGAGTTCTCTTACGAAAGTTTGACCGAACTGGTCAAGGTGTGATCAAGTTCGATGATTTTATCCAATGTTGTGTTGTCATTCAGGTCAGTCATTTTATGCCTAATTCTGAGTTTATCATTTTCCTTTGTGGAACTATCTTTGTCTTTGATACATGCGTTGTTGGTTAGCGCTTCGCTGCGTTGAAGTATCTCCACTGCCGGTAACTATGCAACTATGAGAAACGTCTGCGCCGAAGTATTACTGTTAAATTTTCAGTATCGGTACATCGTAAGGTATATACCTAACTATGTATGTTACCAGTATACCAGTTTTCCTTTGATAATTACAATAAAGGAAAATTCTTCAATGAGAATTTAAAGAAAGTTTTGAGTTTCAGCTAAAAGTAAAAGTGCAAATTAAAGCGATAAATTCAAAACTTTAACGAATACATATGTTTTTATGATGTCGATGTGAATTTTGAATATTTGTTCCTTTATTCCTAAATTGCCATCGAAGTTCTACCTACAGTACATGTACATGAATAGCGTAGATTCAGTAGACATACATAGTTTTCACATTTTACACAAAGTTTCTACAAGAGCATGCATGCAGAAGCATACGTAGGAGTGTGTTTTTTGGTTGAGATCGTTTATTGCAATGGACGTTGAAGTATTCGACTCAGATTAATTGACCTCACCTAGCCTTTAGGAAGGTCGCTAATTTTATTACCTAATTTTTTGGATTGTCGTTCTTTACTTTAGTGGAATACAGTATAGGTTATAGTAATAAAAGTTATCGTTAGTTCGTTACTATATATAATACGGTAAAATATCCTGTATCGATATACTAAAATCTATTTATTATATTTTCTGGATGTACGTACTGTATATCGGTATATTTAACAGTCGCACAGACCATTCTTTTTACTACCCACCGCTTTCGTATAGAACTTACACTTGTAGGTAAACATAGCTGTAGTAAGTCTAAACGTAGCTGTACAAACAGTATTCTTTCCATCTTCCCATCTGACCACCCTTGTTTATAGCTCACTAGCTTCTTATGGAAACTGCATCAGCAAAGCTAGTATTCCCTTCTGATCCGAAAGGACAATTATTCTACAAACGTTTTTTAAAGTTTAAGATAAAGTTTTTTTCTCTTCCATAAGTATCACCCCGTCAATTTTTTTTATCTCCTGCACTATTCACATATGGCCAATTTTTTTTATGATATTTTAGACCCTTACTCAGGCATTTCAAAACTATGACACCAACAGGAATGGATGGATTCAAATAAATTATGAACAATTTCTCAGCCTAGTATTCACACTTAAAGTATAATCATTGGGACGTACGTGTCGAAATATACATACAATCACCTTGCATGCTCATATCTAAACCGTATCATTATATATATATATATATATATATATACGTCTCTGCAGAATGGGGGAAATAATTCTACTGGAAGTCGACTCCGGCAAAAAATTTTCGAGTTATTGTGTTTTCACAGTCGATGAACATCAAATCGTCAGACTGGCTACGCTACGCTAGACGTCTGTCTTCAGCAAAAATTTGTCGGCGTTTTATATTTGGTACCAATTACGCCATCCTGGCTAGTGAAACAAGCACGTGGTGTAGCCCACCTTTGTAGTTGTTCTAGCCAGAATGGGTTTGACAGGAGTTAAATGCCCCATGGACAAAAACACCAGACTTCGATTCTACATACCCTGGGTACATTTCTACTCTGTGACATTCTGGTTGCTTCTGTTATAGTAATAGGCAGTCTGAGTTGCACCAAAATCTTCGACGCGTTCGTGAGCTATAATACTGCCGTTGTTTCCACAGCTTCACAGCACGGATAGTAATTATATATAGATTCCTTTTAGTATTAAACAAAGTCAAAGCCGTGTGTAAAGCAAAATAGAATTTGGTTCCGTACAATAGCGGCTGTTTTTATATCACGTCTGCGTCCTAGATTTCGTGCATTTTAAACACACTAATTTTATGTCTTCTTTGTCAACGCTAGCACTTGCACGGTGTTATGAAAATACTGTAGGTTACTATAAATAGATGTAATGACACGCTTTATGTGCACGTATTGAGAACGTAAAATAGAATCATTAGAATATGTTGCCATATACTTCTTCAATACCGCGTGTTTTTCCTACCCACGTTCAAGCATGATTGTGTTCTCATCACATGTACGACCTTGTCCGAATTTGCGTCTCTATTTTGATAGGATCAGAATTCACTCCCGATCTGCGCGATTTAAAGTAAACGCGCGTATAGTTGCAGTGTGTATAGCCTATTATAGGGGTTTGTCTTGCCACAAGAGCATAGCTACGTAGCGGCAGATTTCTTTGTATGTCTGTGGGAATATTCCATTTTACTTCCTGTGAAAATATACCATGACCATATGAAATTATCATATATAGGTGTACCCTTTTAATTTATGTTCGTAATCCACATGCGTCATTACCTATACGTCTTGCAAGTGGTACATAAAGTGAAGGGAGTTGGGAGCACCGAAATAGCGGCCAGTCATGTTTCTTGAATAGGTTTACTGGGCTACATATAGAATAGTGAGCTGCCCAGCCAATCACAACAGCACTGAAGATGGAGTACAAATGTGACGTTCAGGGGCGGGTTGTATAAAACTTTTTAACTAGATTTTGAGTAGTTAAATCGTAGTTTTACAAGTACTTATGATGACGTCATGCCCCGTGTTTCTCTAACGCCCCTTCATTTATCCATTCCTAACCGTGTGTTAACACAATAAGTCTGGCCTATAGCTCTAGGCTGTGTCTAGACCGAAGTGTTTGCACTGCGCAAAGCCTTCTCAGGCGTAATCTTGCTTGGCCTTAGACCAGACCAACGTACGTTTTTATATACGATATATATATGAATCTGAGCCAAACCAGACGGATTACGTCAGGCTTATGTCCAGAGTATCAACGCGGCTATGGATTTCATGTCTTGCAATGCCAAATGAATGGCACACTGCGAGAGTTTTCATCGAATGAAACTATACGATAGCTGGCGAGTGCACATGCGTATATATTTTTATCCTCGCATATGGAAATTAATGCGCATCTAAGGCGTTGCCGTTGGACTTCCTGTACATGCAATGAAACATTCCTTCGAGAGGGTGGAATATGATCGGTTTTTTCCACCCAACGCCAAACATCGTTTGTGAATGGTTTTCTCTGAACGAAAAGAAATATAATATGTGCCAATGTGGGATTTCTCAAAAGTCAATTCTGCGTATAGGTCTACAACTTGTTTTTAATCTACAAATATGATCAATAATGCTCTACCAAATTGTTTTGTCTCCTGTCTTCACGCTGGCGTTTAACAAATATTTGCATTTTCTCACGATACTGAAGATCGGTATCGATAAAATAAATTCTGAAAGGCAAAAAAAAGGCTGATAGTGCATGACAATATTATCGTTAATAATTGTATCGTTGAATCGCGGTTTTTTCCCAAAAATGTCCCCGTCTCGGGGTTGGCTTCAACGTGCAATAGGCTGGTATTTGATATTCACATTCTGAAGATATATTCGGGAATCGGTGCCATATTTTAATCATTTTGTTTTCGTTATGCCTGTTGGATACATGTGGTAAGGTCTAAACGGAAGGAATAAACTCGGTAAAAATTGCCCGACTGGAATGCAATTTACCTTGGTCATAACTTAAAACACTTCAAAGCTTCAAAAATGGCTAGTTTACAGTTGCTTAAAATTGTAAGCCACGCAACTAATAGGGTAAATTGTTTCAGACACAGGCTTCTCTGTAAGTGTAAGAGAATCTTTTTTTTTTGCCGTTAGGTTTATCTAGTTTTAGCTTGTGTCTGTTAAATGCATGTATGCCTGCATGATCTAATGCATTAGTTCTGGTGTACAATAATGTGCATGCCGTAAGGAATTTTATAAGAAATAAAGTTTTAACCAGAAATACAATCTTCAAAATAATGATACTATAGCTGAGCACTTTCAAAACCGCCAGAACAAACTATTTGAAACGAAGTGTTAAGATAATAAGTATAAAGTAAAGTGCTTTGAGATAATATTTCTATTTCATTGACAAAGTTCATTTGGCTTCGCTTTATCAGTTTTCTAACACATTTCATCGACTATTCTAGGTTATACGGTATCTTGAGGTGTGTGTTAAACAGTTTGTTAATATCACACGTCCTATCTGATAAACTAACTGATTGCATTCAATTAACAACTATGTGTAAGGCCATCGTGCAGATAAATAAGTTAATTTATCATATCTTATCATATCTATATATATTATCTAACGATTAGATTATTGAATTGGCGAGTCGCGTCGCCTTGACGTTGGATTGCCATTGCCTTTTAACATTTTTTCCTTTTTTTCGCAATAAAATTCAGCAATCTATGTCTTTAATGCATGTTTATTTGTAGTCGCTTTACCCGCAGGCTTGAAGTTTATTTCAGTAGCCCGTCACACCCGCCGGAATGGGTTTTTTAAGCCCGCTTTGCATCGCGCGGGCAAAACGAGTAAATTAGAAACAGCCTTTTTGTCTGCATTCCTGCCCAACTGTCTATGGGCGGTACTCACCACACGGGAATTGAGAGTATACAATAGTGGAGTGCATTTAAATCCACCCGTAGATCACTGTTGTATTCAACTCGCCTGAAACAACCATGACCACGTCAACAACAGTCTGGTTTGTAATTCTTGCTGCTCTCGTGGCCTCAGTGCAGTCAGCGTGTAAAAATTGTAATAGTCAATGCTGTGGAAAGTCTCAAGCCTGTTTGTCCAGCTGTACCGGCTACTCGTGCGATGAGGACAGCGAATGTGGCGACGGCTGTTGTGTTGTCGGTTTTTGCTCCGAACCTTGTCCCACCGATTTGTCAAAGATGTCTATTGGCCTTATAACTGGTGGATCTGTGTTCGTCTTCACGACCCTCATTAGCTGTCTCGTTTCGTGCATTCGCCGTCGCTGTTGTCGCAAGAAGAAGAAAAAGGATGAAGATAATGTGGTTGTTAACGTCGCAATGCCTAGCAATGATCTTCATCAAAACCAACAACACGAAATGAAAACCCCTCATGTATCCACTTCGCCACCGGCTTCTGCCAACATCAACACCAAGCAGGGCTACAAAAACAAGCAGGGCTACCAAGCTAAGCAAGGCTATCAAGCTAACCAGGGACAAGGCTATCATCAGCCTAACCAGGGACAAGGCTATCAGCCTAACCAGGGACAAGGCTATCAGCCTAACCAGGGCTATCAGCCGAACCAAGGGTTCCAAGCCAACCAGAGCTATCAACCCAACCAAAGCTTCCAAACCAACCAGGGCTATCAGTCCAACCAAGGTTTCCAAGCAAACCAAGGCTACCAGCCCAACGAAGGCTTCCAAACCAACCAGGGGTATCAACCAAACCAGGGCTACCAAACGAATATGGGCCGAACGGGACGAGGCAAGCGATAATGAATTTTGTTTAAGAATGGCACGGTATAACGTTTGTATACGAAATACTGACAATGATTGATTCGTTGCATCGTCCTTTATATTATTGTTAAAATCCAGTGGTATAAATCATACATAGTCCTTAATTTCTTATGAAATCGCTATTCATCCTAGAGAACGTTCACTTCACGACTGTATAATTAAGACTTGAAATTATGTATATACCATTTATCGCACTTGCATGTACAAGATTTTAATAAATTCAATAAAAACCTCATTGTTGTGCGATATCCTTCTGTGCAGCAAAAGGGCATTCACCACTATAATTATGTAAAACACCGGCCGGGAAAGTTTTTGAATATTAACGTTATACTAACTAGGATTTGGACGGGGAAAATTATACATTATTTGATAGGGATGAACGACACCTTGCATGCTGTTTTAATATAATAGCTTTAGTTGGAACGTAACGATGCAGCATTGTAGAACTCCCTTTATAAATGAGCTACTCCAAGTCAGTAACAAATTTTTAACATTTTTCGATAATTCAATAAAAATTATCTTAATTTATGCACTCGTGGCAAACTGTTATCATGCATATACACGCGGAATTTGTATAGGTATATTTTGGTTTTGTACAACGTGTACTTTCTTCATATTTTAATTCTATTGTGAAGTCTAATGAAGTTCAAGTTCAGGTGTTGCAAGCTGTGAGTTCAATGATGCAATATATAAGTGAACGACTATTGCACTGTAGAAAATTCTTCGCCATAGAAAAAATGGGTTCCCTATGAAGATAGAATTGATAGCGACACTGAATACGGCAAGCTTTGCGTTGGTCCCTACCGAGTCTTTAATATATAACTGTATATGCATATATCAAACATATCCACATAACTTTGAAAATACTGCATGTTTATATAAACACTTCAAAAATATACAGGAAACATTATTTAATAGTTCAATAGTTCATATTTCGGCATGTGTATAGTATATCTCCTGGAAGCTGGTAAAATTTTTGTTACCCTATGATTGAACATATTTTCATTGATTTCGGCGAAAACCTGCATGCCTCCTTTTACATATATGTAAAATATGGGGTCAACAGTAATGTAGGACTCGTCAATTCGTGCATATACTGTTCACAAATCCGCGAAAACAAATCTCTAAAATATTTTTATGGGTTTCGTCGCTGCATGGAAAATGGTCAAAGCGACGCGTATATAATCACCATTTCATTGCAACCATGCACCCCTGGCTTATATTCAATTTGTAACAATCCCGTATCGGCAAAAATCTAGGTACTGAAAGCTAACGTTACCACATGTGGATCAAGCACTGACTGCCACAAGTACACATGTCAATCAGTTTTTCCCGAGATACGTCTTTAGAAAGGCGTGCGTAAGCTCTACCTCCAAATTAATAGAGCCAATAGAGTCTGATCATGTTAAATAAGCAATAATTAAACGCGTTTACTCTAAAAGTCGCTATCGAGATATAATACACTGCATGTGTATAACACCGTGTGTATATATCAAACAATTTCATGCATGTCGTTCATGCGGAGATCAACAAAAGGACGAAAACATGTCGATTTATCAATGTCGATTATACCGAACCATTAACCTCCGAGTTCGATTCCAGCTGCGTCTTAGAATGAGCACCGGCCCAAACATAACTAATAAGTAAAATAGTTTGTATGCCTTTTGTACTCGTGGAAAGCAGTCATGTTAAAGATAACGCTCGTTTGCGCTGTAATATTTGTTGCTTTAAAGGTTACAGCCTCGGCAAATTCCACAATATCAACTCAAACTCCGATATCACTAACCAACTCTTCGATAAACGTTTTTCCAAATGCAAGGTTGAGGTGTCCTGAGTGTGATGGGTTATGTGACGATTGCGAAATAAAATGTTGTGGCAAGTTTAATCTCTGCGC